TTACACGGTTGACTTCAAATAAGACTGTCCACTTCTGTTGATGACCCAGCACACAAGCTTTGTATGGACACAGTTAGAACGCTAAGCCTTGGTGTCAAGAAACCCGGGCTGCAAGGATTTCAAGGAGATGAGCTACAAACTCCAAGGACGAATGTCACTTAAAAAAAGTTCGCATATGTAACACAAAAATCAATGTACATGTACCGTGTATGTTTCCAAACTGAGTAACGACTTTGTAAAACTTAATGAAATGAAAACAAGCAATCTCTGAGACGGCCATTTTTGCCTAGCTAATAACACTGGACTGGTCCAGGATTTTAAGGCAGACACCTACACTTGATTGGTAAGACAGACATCAACTATATGCACATGTACCCAGGGAGGAAACAGGAAAAGAATTCAAGTGGGTTTTTTTACATTTGTACTCTGCAGATTAATCCAATGTCTCAAAAGATCCTAAGTCATTCAGAAATGCTAATTTTAACCAATTCTCAATTTTACTTGATACAAAAAAAAAGAAAGAAAGCAAGAATGCAGAGTTCCGATGCCCCACAGAAAAACAACCTCCATCCTACAACTTCAACACCTGGTTCCAAAGAACTTGAGTACACCCCCATTCCTTTTACTAACATTCTTGTTTTACAACTTGGGGGTGGGGGCTTGGGGGAAGAGAACCAAAACTACCATGAGGTTGAGGCTTTTTTTTTCGTTACAATGCACTGTGTTCCAGAACTGTACTTTCCACCAACTTTCCCGATATCAGAGTGTTCAAATTCAAGCCACCACCTGGGCCAGTTTCATAGAGCTGCTTGAGTACAAACTCTGCTTAAGCGTGAAAAAAAAAACCTTACTTAAAAACAATGGTTACCAGTTCAAATACAATCCCAAAATAACACACATCACATGGAGTTTTGGCTGGCTACCTGATTTATCAAGCAAGGTTTTCTTGCACTTATTTTAGGCTTAAGCAGCTCTATGAAATGGGCCCAGCTGGTTACCCTCCCTTGGCTGTTTCATCAAACAGATGAAAACAGCCAACAATGGCTGAAATTTTTTGAAAATGAAATTCACTTTACATAATTTTTTCTCTCTTTCTCCCTATTTTTTGGCTTTGCTTTAGAAGAGCCTACGTGTACCACATTTCTGGATTCCTTGAAGTCTTTAGAAATTTGAATGAAATGCAAACAGCTATACAACCACCGAGCTGTACATGTACAGCACACTGTCACTCGCGACCCGCGTGTCAAAATGTTCATTCCACATTTGACCACGATATGGAGTCATTGAGAGTAATCTGGGTGCCTCTACATGTATTACAAAAGCCCGCAATCGTGTTTGGAGACTTTGAGAAAATGACTCTCAGAAATTCTGGAATGTTTCCTATGCACATGCACGCGCCATTCAGAGTTTGCTCATTGACTGGCTGTCTGACCGGCTGTCCTCTATCAGTCTATATGTTCACTGTACAGCTCACTCAAAAGTGACACATCCAACGCCCTGCACTGATTATAGAGCAAGGAACAGTATGCACTGAGTTACTGCACATGTGCATGTTCCAGTACATGTAACTTAAAGAAAATATAAATGTTTCGAAGAAACTGCTACACTGTTGCTCCTTATACCTGCGATAACATCACAGTTTAGCTCATGAATGTGAATCTAATCAGCATAATAAAGTCCAAACAGCACTGAAATAAACTCAGAAACAGCTGCATGTATATCAAGATTGGAATGTGGGCGCACCGGTACGCCCATGGACGGTACATGTACCTGGGCTCAAAGAGGCAATTTCAGGGTTTCCTTCCTCATACAGTATTTGAAACACGAATTCTACTTACTGCATGAACCCTTTAAAGGATTTTATTTCCTATTAATTGTAAGGTAGGCTGACAGTCACAGGTATTAAGATGTACATGTAAGATAAAAGCAACTGCGCCCACTCTCCCCCAAGTACTGCTGTGTCGGTATCTGCCCAGTAATCTAAATCCTATTAATACCAGATAAACGAAGCAGGTGACCATTATCATCAATAGCACACCATCCTTGTCCTTCTGGGCATTTGCTGTGTGTGTGGGATTGTGTCCGTTCGTAAACAGGGAAACCTAGCCATATTTGACACCTGACCCTTGTATGCATATTACGATATAGACTGGCTTTCCTTAGTTTTCTGTTCTGCTAGAATTTTCGTTTATCATTGAATGCAACAGAACAGGAATCAGTTTGGGAAAAAAGTGAAAAGTAAATCTCTTCTGAGCTCAAGCAATCATTTAAATGCTTTGGCAGTGTGTGGCATTTGGCTGGTAACCCTAATCAGTGGTAATTGTGTGGCCAAACTCTTTCCGCTACCACTACAGCCATGCAGTCTTGTAAGTGCTCAATTCCTGGTCAGTTCACAATTACGATGTTAGCTTTAATTTCTCTCATTCCCATGAAATGATGACACCATTATTCGAATGCCATCTGGGGACGGTGAAATGAAAGATTCAAATCCAGGCCACATACCGGCAGTGATATAAACTTGTAAGAACTTGACAACAAAAAGGTCCCAGGTCAAAACAATGTCATTCTGAGATGTTTGCATATTCACGTTTACATGTACAGTAGGTACATTGTACATGTACTGGTGAATTCACATCATGGATTCCCACAGTAAAACAGAATGCACAAAAACTCCTGTGCGTTCATTTTAACATCTCAGCAATACTTCCAATCACACAACTACAATCGCCAAAATTTTGTCTTCTTCGCACGCACCGCGAGCAACGTTTCTCAAGTAATGGTGACGTCGAAGAAGTTTAGTCCGGACATGCCGGAAGGCATTCCCAATGTTATGACAATTACGATGTACATTGTACATGTATCTGTGCTGTGTAATTGACACTTGATTTCATCCAAGTCTAGCGGTTTTCACGTGATGTCACTTGACCGGCAAACGCAGCTCAAGAGGCACTCCCAGTCCTTAGTGGTATGTGCATTTTCGAATCTGCGTCCATCAGTTGGCAATTTCATGTACACCAGAATACCAGTATATATTGAATGCTGCCAGTCAAAAATCATGTGACTGAAAACCTCTACTTACATGTATATAAATTCCTATAACAATTTATGTAATAGACAACCGATGACATCTGACTAACATACATTGTGCCGGTACAGTACATGTAGAATCTATGTATTTTGTACGGTCCCTGGATTTAACTGCACTGTCCCAAAACCAACGGTATGAGGGTACCTGCATCACCAAGACTTGTTTTCCAGGAAAACATACACATGCTGACAAAACTTGACAAATAACAACATAATCCTGCACCGAGATGGAAATAATTAACATCCACTCGGGCAGTAAAGCCTGTAACCAATGTTACTGGAAACGTTGCGGGCACAGGCCATTGAGTATGTACATGTACGACACAGAACGCTGCCTTACATGTACATGCCTTACTGAAAGATCAGGAACAGGCTAGAGCTGATCTGTATCTTGTGACAGCCAAAACTGAAAATTCCCACCGCCACAGGGAAAGTGGCTTTCTAAGCAAAAGTCAATACCAGATTACGTGAGTGAACTTAGAGTCGGGGTTTGGGAGCAGTGGAGGGCCCGGGTGCATTCACGGTTCACTGAAGGTAAATTTAAAGAAACCACTGTGAAAATATCCATCTTTGTCAATCACATGAAACTGAATTTGCTGCCAAACATTCATATACATGTAAGTGAACAATGTTCACTTATTGTACACATCAAAATGAAAACTGCACAATCTGCACTACAAAAAGTGGCAGTAAGTAAATTTGTGAGGGAAGTACCTGACCAGTAATCACTGCACACTGAACATGCAGACATGCACCAGTATTGCCCCTACTTTCAAAACGAGAAATTTGGTTGATCTGATGCTGGCAATTTGGTGAAATCGTATTGACCCAATCTACTGACATCAGCCCAATGACGATGATCTCTTTGGGGCCAAATTTATCCAAACTGCTTTTTTCATTTTCTCTGAGAAGAAAAGGAAAGTTCACTCAACTTAAGTTTTTCTGGCTTCAAAGGTATAAAAAAAATATATGAATGTAAACAGTGTGGTGCTCGGTACACTCCAGCACATGTACAGCTGTTTCCCTCCTTTTTTTCTTTTCATGAAAGGACAAATTTCAGGTGAATAAAAAAATCCTTAATTACATTCCACTTGAGGACTTGACAGTACTGTTCAGGCAGTTTGAGTTACATGCATGCACATGCACATGTACAAGCACATACAAACTGGTGTTTGCTTTCATGCAGCGTATATGTACAGTGCACTGTAATTAATCGACCTTCCAACTTATGAATTCTGTTTTTAAGCAGAGACCAATTTAAAATACAATTTTCTTTAAAGTTGATGTTTGCATTTCAGTGAAATTTTTCACCTTGTGAAAATGGTAACAATATGGAGTTCATGTACCTCACCTAAGTGTTTGTCTTCCAATCATAACTGTCATCATCCTCACAAGCCAACACATGCCTTGGAGATGAATCAACCAAAGAAACTGCTCAAAATTGTTTAAGCAGCCGGGTATCTGTCCACAGCTAACATTCATCTTCACCCTGACTCCCTAGGGTGTGTTGCAAAATCATATTAAAATTGGAGGATTCAGGACTGCTAGGGTTAATCAAGGAATAGCCCTCGATGCGTTTTTCATCTCCATATCATTGATGGACTGCAGACTACCGCATTATAAAACAATGAAGAGCAACTGAAGAAAAATTCCAACAATGAAAGAAGATAAAAGCCTAAAAGATATGAACCCTACATTTCAATAATAGGTTTTGCCCAAGCGCGTCAATTTACACATCGTAAGGAAAAACACAAAGGCATCATACACGTACTGTAGCAAAACACTGCACAGTGGAAATTAAAAAACTGGAAAATCTGTAATACCCCAAGAGCTCGGCGTAACTTAAAAAATTACCGACCACCTCGAAAACAATCCCGCATCTTTAGAAAAAACCAACTGAAGTGGCCACTTACCCCATCTTCTTCGTTGTTCATATTTTTCCTGATGACCATCAATGACCATCCCATGGGCAACTGGAAATGACCGGAGATATCCAAGGATGGGGAAGTACTCTGTCCGCTGGACAAGCAAGACCCACAACAACTCCACCTGGCACGTGGATATCAATCCTTAAATGTACATGTACCGTATATCTAGTCCAGTGCCTCCGAAAAATGCACTTTTGAAGGGGCCATTCTAAATGATCTTGTACTTTCCATGCTTGGAGTGTATTCAAGAATTGTACTCTGTCAGGTCCCAGGCCAAATGAACACTGAGTATTTATTACAAAAGAAAAAAGTTTCTAGAGAAATGATCTGCTGGTTCCAAGAATCAATGACGTTTTTGCAGCCCAGACGTGTGCTCAAGGATGTCAAGCAAATGGGCAAAGTCATTCCCACTGGACAGACCTGATCCAGCGTGAAACATTTCTTGACTGGATCAGCTACACGATGGCCCTGAACCGCAGAGAGCAAGGACCTGATGCAACTGCCCACGCAACCGTACCATCCCCTGGTCGGAAGTACAATGGAGAAAATTTTTCTGGCTTCTGACGCAGTCAGTGCAAACACACAGTGAAACCTGAAGACCCCGGCCACGTACGGTCTCCCTACCTGTACCTGTGGCCTCTCCTGACAACAGCACACAAGGATTTAACAGTAACACACACACACACACAAGCTGAGCTCCCTAGCAGAATCGCATCTCCGATCAAGCGACCGTAGTCAGCACCCTTATCACGTCGCCATGACAACCGGACATTTCTGAACACTGAGCCAGGAAGTGGTTTCTACAGGCCCAGTCAAATTCAAGGCTCAGTGGGCCCGAGAGCCAAAGCAAGCACAGAGAAGCAGGAGGGGGGGGTTGGGCCGTACTGAAGTGACGGACGATACAATTCTGAGTGCATGCAGATGCTGATGCTGTCTTGCTGACCCAAACAGCTCACTGTAAAGTAATGTTGAGGCAGGTGGTAAGAGGACACCTGCCAATTTGAAGAACGTGATGGGAAGTACCAGTAGATTTCAGCAATCTACAAACATATCATACCAGTATATGATTGCTTTCAGTGGTCTGTAGAACCCATCCAGGTGTACATGTATTTCAAACAGCCCGGCGGTTACCAATCCACTCTGTGCGACTCTCCAGCCTTGTTTCAATCCTCAGTCACAGCGAAAGATGTCTCTGGTTATCTCATATCCGTGAAAAAAAAAGAAACCATTGCATTCGCTGTACGTTTCATATTCAACTACGTGTACAAGCCGAGTGAGTTTAGGCAGAAAGATGTCTTCAGTGAAGGTGTACACAAATACATTTCATAAGTGCATGTGTAGTGTAGCAAGTATCCACAGTGGCCGACAAATCCTACTGCAAAAGCTCTCTGACGACTTTGACGGACCAGCACATAATGACAGTAAATAGCTCACTGCTCCACTCGCCTGCCCCGACCAGTGAAGGAGTAACCAGGAATGCAGGCACACTGACATTTGCGTTCTGACCACTTTCTGCCACCACCGCCGGCCAACTGCCAGGCACATCAGGTCCCATCCAGTGCAGAGTGGACGGCCCAGGGAGCCCCTGACAACTAGACCATTGTCATGGATTGTGGCAGGGGCATCATTGGTTACTGTGACTCTGTTTGTTAATGGGATCAAGCCCGAGGCTACCTACATGTACATGTAGGCTGTACGCAGCATGACCGGCATACAGTATGTGGTTTGACCACTGAATGAGCATTGATGCTTGCCTGTTGATGCATGAAAGAGTTTTCAATGGCCCAGTGCCAACCATGGGGATCAGTGGTAAAGTCATTAATACAAAAAAACCCACAGCATATACAGGGTTTGCAGATGGGACAAAATGAAGGTCGGTTACAATGGAAGAACAATTCTAGTCTGTGTGCTGATGCCCTTTTTTTCAGTTCTCATTGGGGAATGGAGTCTACTTTGATTGTTGTCTCCGTCCATGTACATTTTGTTGAGAATTCTGTTGAGGGTGGGTAATGAACAAGTACGGGGTACACTGTGTTGGACACCAGACTCTAATCAGAGGAGGGAATCATGGGTGATAGGACAGAGCTCAAGAAAGCCTCTGTGAGACTCTGCAAGTCAGAACACAGGAGAACAGAGCTGGGCAGAACACAGAATATCATCAGAGGGCACCAAAGCAGGACAACTGAATACATCATGTAGACAGAAGGATATAGCACGGGAGACAATCCCGGCAGGACCCAGCTCAAGAAAACCATGGGAAAACAGAGCACAGAAGACCACAGGACAGCTATTGGTACCGGTCTGTGTGGGACAGCAACAGCAGATCACAACAGCAACAATAGAGCCGTGTACAGCTCTAAAAAACAGTGCACAGCAGACGAAGTGACAGAGACCAATTGCAGAAAAGATCAAGGCCGGATAAAACGATGCTGCTCCAAAATGAAAGGATATGCAGTACAACCTGAATGAGATTGGAAATGAAAACACATACAATAAATGTATTCCACCAAGACAATGTTGTATCACAAGAAATACGATCAAATATAAAGTATATGTACACTGTACATGTGGCATCAAAACGAGGCAGTCCTCTTTTGCACAAAAAGAACGGCACATAGCACCAATTAAACAAAAGTCACACAAGAGAAACTGACGGCACAGTCACCAGAGGGCGCTATTTCAAGCTAACTGGTCACCCTGGCCGGGATGGAACTATTCAAGACAGTCACAATGAAACAATGAAAGAGGGCGCCTGTCAAGTTTAGTGCGAGGCTACTTGAGGGATTCTTGAGAATTTTTTTTTCCCCTGAATTCCGGCCTGGTGAGCTGGTACCGGAACACTGACAGTGACAAGTCACAGGCAGGAAAACTGTACCAGGAACATCAAAATGTACATTTGTACCCTGCATGTACATGTGTCTTGCATGAAGCTTTTAATCTATGGATCCAGATATTATACACGCCCGCAGGAACAGGGGATGCTGTGGGTGCTGAAGCACCCCTAACTTGTGCTGGTGTACAAAATAGCACCCCAACTTTGACCACATTAAGCCACAAATATATGATCAAACTCATCAATGTCAGAGATTCACCGAAAAACCCTCGATATTTATGATTTTACAACCTCAGCACCCCTTAGGTAAATGTTTCAGCTTGACCAGTTACACATTTGTACATGTACATCTTTCAAAATGAAAGATGTGAATTATGGAATGTACATGTAGTCAACATTGTCAAAAAGCAGCATGCATTTCAAAAATTACACTCCAATTTTTTGAGATGATACCCTTTACTTTGTGAAAAAGCCCCTTCAGCAAAACAACCCTCTTACCGGTAATTACCTCTTACCGGACTATTACAGCATAACTGACCCATACGGATTGACCCGATAACTATGGTACACACTGTGGAAATTATCTGATGAACGCACGTCATGTATGTATAAAACATGGGGATGAAGGCAAGATCGCTTTGTACTTCAACAAAACCTGCACATGTACTGAAAGGTGCAACTTCATTCAACTGATAACTCCTTTACTAAAACAAAGGGAAACATATCCCGTACATGTATTTCAATTTATCTGCCTTGGTTGCCATGCCATGGTCCAGTCCCAATATGACCCATAATTCAAGGCTGCCAGCTGTGGTAATAACATGACTATAACCACCAATTGCCGTGGAAACTCTTCCACCGACAACTTAATAGCAAATCTGTCATTGTCAATCATGCCCCACAATGCAGTACACCGGCGGCCGGCCCGAGTGCACCGCGCTCATTAGCATACATGTCTGGCCAGACCAGCAGCGATCATTTAAAGATTGATATGGCTGCATTCATGTCTGCCGATACTCATTATCCATAATTCGGTGATCTTGACAATCGTCACTTGGACTTACAGTTAAGCCCAAAATTATTCAGACCTTATGTGGAAATTGATATTTTCATATTTTAGTGTATGAAATGGAGGATTGAGAACACTTTGGTTTTATTCCATTTTATTTATGCTAGAATACAAATCAATGCAGCAATTTGGGTTTCTTTAGTGTCGACTTTAAGGTTACATAATCAACGTTTTTGGTTCTTATGCATGTCTATAAGTATGCTTACCCCATGACTGATTACGAAATTCAGGCTTTTGTTGGTGTCTGAACAAGTGGTTATTGGTATGAATGTCATTCCCCCAATTTTTTTACTTACTCTCATGCGATCACATTTAGCTGTGTTGTAATCAATTGGCCTAAATTCAGTGGAGTCAGTGCTTTCATGCTCACTTCATGGTCAGCAGCACAACCATTGACATGGCAAAGAAGAAAGAAATGGGTGACGACCTTCGGCGGCGCATTGTGAATGGTCACAAGGACGGCAAAGGCCATCAAGCTATTTCAAAGCAATTTCAAGTTCCAGTGGCAACAGTACAAAGCATAATCAGCACGTACAAGGAGTTTCGCATGGTCAAGAATCTCAAGGGACGGGGTCGGAAGCCAAAGATGACGCCAAGACTGGCCCGAAAAGTTGTGCAAGAGGCCAGCAACAATCCTCGGATCACTACCAAGGCCATACTGAAAAATTTGAGCGGCTCTGGGACCAACATATCAAGACAGGCACTCCAGCGGACATTGCACAATGGGGGCCTTCGTGGATGCCGGCCAAGGAAGACTCCACTCCTGCAGCCCAGGCAGGTAAAAGCCCATTGAACCTTTGCAAAAGCACATATTGACAGAAATCCAAGCTTTTGGTCATCAATGCTACGGTGTGACGAGACAAAAATGGAGCTTTTTGGGCACAGGGATGTGGCATTTGTTTGGAGAAGGCAACGTGAAGTGTTCAAACCGAAGAACACGGTCCCAACAGTCAAGCACGGTGCTTTGGGGATGTTTCTCCGCCAGTGGGCCTGGCAATCTCGTCAAAGTAGATGGCATCCTAAAAAAGGAGCAATACGTCGAGATACTGGAGCAAAATGTCAAACAGTTGGCAGGAAAACTTGACCTAGGGCAGCACTGGATGTTCCAACAGGACAATGACCCCAAACACATGGCAAAAGTTGTCAAGAAATGGTTCAAGGAGACCCATGTGAATGTTTTGGACTGGCCAAGTCAGAGCCAGGAGACCGATGTGAATGTTTTGGACTGGCCAAGTCAGAGCCAGGAGACCGATGTGAATGTTTTGGACTGGCCAAGTCAGAGCCAGGAGACCGATGTGAATGTTTTGGACTGGCCAAGTCAGAGCCCAGATCTGAACCCAATCGCAAATCTATGGAAAGAGCTTAAGGCTCAAGTTGGAGCAAGAAGACCTTCTACCTCATCGACTTGGAGACCTTCGCAAAAGAGGAGTGGGCGAATTTTCCTATCGAGGTCTGTAGGAACTTGATCAGCAACTATCAGAACCGTTTGGAGGCTGTAATTGCAAGCAAAGGCTATGCCACTGGTTATTAGTCATGGGGTATACATGAATACGTATGGACGTGCATAAAAACCAAAAATGTTGATTATGTAACCTTTAAGTTAACAATAAAGAAACCAAAATTGCTGCATTGATTTGTATTCTAGCATAAATAAAATGGAATAAAACCAAAGTGTTCTCAGCCCTCCATTTCATACACTAAAATATGAAAATATCAATTTCCACATAGAGTATGAATAATTTTGGGCTTAACTGTCCATACATTGTAGGCTACATTTTCCTATTTTGAAACAAGCCTATGATGTCACAACACTTCATGAGCTATGATGCTCATTGTTAAGAAAAATTCAATAACTGGTCGCCTGTACATGTGGCATGAAAATTATCAGTTGGACTCGGGTTACTTTTTTTTTTGAAAGTTTGAAAAACGAACTCTCCAATATTCTTACAGAACTTAATCAACTGAACTGTCAAAATATACACGTCTGAATGTGAGACAAAAATGGGAAAAAACATGAAGCACACTGTAAGTAAGTAATTCTGTAAATTCAGGGTCCAAAAATGCAGCTTGTTTGTGTCCCTGTTTCAACTTATGTGAATGCAATTTGACTTGGAAATAAATGTTTACTGAAAACGACTTCAAACTACAGGTGCACGTACTTTTATTTGTTTGGCAGGTTATCTGCACTTTACAAAAAAAATTCAATTGAACTTATAGAACAAAATTATACCGGTATGTCAGATGTGACACAGACACCCAAAAAAATTGGATCCAAAATTTCTAGAATGACCCAAATACACTTGTATGTACAATACATGCAAAGATGAAGCCACACCATACATGCACCTGTACATATGTAGGCAATGAGTTATGCTCTGGTATGGTTACTAGCAAGGACTGTAAACACTGTGTGTGTAAATGTATAGCAAACATACTCTTGCTGTGTAGGGTACCATACACACATACAGCAAATGTACTGTACATGCATGAGAAGGGGGGATTCAGTTCTGACCAAAAAGGAACATCTGAAATTTCTGCCCCCGCACAGAAATGTCACAAATATTTCTGAGGATTGGGAGTACTCTTTGAACTCCAAAAGACAGAAAATTTCCCACTGTCGGCATGAACCTTCCCCTCTTCTGACTGAATGTACGTGTTTGGAGCAGAATACATGTAGCTGGTGCTAAAATACAGGTGAACATTGAGAATTCACAGGTCTGCACTTTTGCAGGAAGTGGTTTGTCTCAGACTATTACACTGGGGAGTAATTTTCCCTTCTAAATCATCTAGTCCCTGCGTTCAGTCTTTGGAAATAACAAAGCCACATCCCTCTGGGCATCACGCTCTCACAAACCAAGCTGTTCAGTTTACCCTCTCCTTCATTATAACACATCGCACAACCAGTTATTCTGTCCCAAGCCTTGACTGGCTAACAG